ACCTGCAGATACCCCTGCATAGACGGTCGCCCATTAAACAAGGGAAAGCAGCATATCTTAGAACACATCAGTGTTCTGCAGCAGCTATGAGATGGGGCTGGTCTCTCCTGTTGGTGTCAAAAGCAGTTAAAATGTGTGAGATATTTCCCTATTCCGTTTCCATGAGCAGCTGGTAAAAGCACCAGAGGGAAGGGCAGTTTGTGAAGAGCATATTAGATTGAAAGTGGTGAGGGCTGGCGGAGCATCTGCTGCCAAGAGGAGAAAATTGGAAAGGGAGAGGCCTTGTCCGTGGCACTGGAAGGCCTAGGCAGTGGGTCCACACTGACCCTTCAGTGGCTGGCACGTAAAAGCAAAGGGCTCCTCAGCCCTCCTGCTGTAGGAGCAGAGCTGCTTTTCTTATGCTCTGCATTCTGCTGGGGTTTTACACCCTTTCCTTCTGTTGGGGTTATCTTCCTCTTTCCTTTACAGTCTACTCTCTCTGCTGCTGTTTGCAGTCGTTAAATATTTCCTATGCCATCACTGTTTCCATTACGCTGCACACTTCCTCCTTGTCCCTTTCCTTGGACTCTGCTGTGCTGCTAGCACGTAATTCAACCCGTGTGTGACAAAAGCCTCTCACTTCCAGACTTGGGTAACGTTGATGTGTAGCTTGTGCAATTGAGGTCCCTTACTGAAAAACACGAGTACAGTATGCCCCAACCTTAAGCTGGATTGCTCTTCGCTTCTGGGAATAGGTGGGCTGGGGTGAAGAAACCCTGCCTCACTCCAAACACGAGTCTCCTAAAACAAAAGGATTTTCTTATGCACTGGCCTCACTCACACAACTTGCGGGTGTTAGCCCTTCCCCTGTACCTGGTGTTCCTGAAGGAATCAGGTCACTGGTACATGGTAAGGACATGGGGTTAACTGGCCAGTTTTTACTTTAATTTTTAAGTGAGGCTTTCCTTTCTGCCAGTGCCCCAGCACACACAAGGGAACACGTGCAGTCCAAAAAACAGGCCCACAGGACGTGAGGATGTTTCGGGCGAGACCTAATTCATCTTTTAATTCCCTTCAGTGAAAGGGGCCTCGTTCATGAGCATGTCCCAGATAGCACCAGCTGTGGACCCCAGCGTGTCTGTGTTGGGGACAGCATGGTGCCATGTTGCCCCAGTGGCAAATGCTGTATTGGATAGTGCCTCTGGTTCAGTCAGGCTGTATCTCTGGTGAGTGGCTGCCACCCTCTGAGTTACTTAATTTCCATGATGACCTCTCAGGCAAGCAGGACCTGCGCTTATGCTCCTCTGCCATTAAAGGAAATCAGAGCTCCACTCCCACATCATGGGGCTTAGGGCTGTCAAGTCCCCAGTTGTCAAAATGTCTGGCTAGCTGAGACCTCTGGCATGAGTGTGACCAAGAGAAGAAATGGCCATGTTCTCTAAGGGCCACTGGTTTTTATTACCTCAGTTTCCAGGGGCCTGTCCTGCAACACTGAGCATCTTATTCTTAAAGGTGCTGAGCGCGTGTAGTTCCCAGTGATCTTTAAATTCTCTGGGCTTTTGTCTCTGAAAACTAGGCCCGCTGAATATAGCAGCAGGGCACTCAAACCCTGAGGCATGACAAATCACTGGCTGCTTTTGAGCAGTGTGTTCTTAGTGGCTGGAGTCTGGTCTTTAACAGCGTGGGCAAATACCAGGAGAGTTCAAAGCCCACTCTAGGCCTGTCCAGCCCCCAGTGGACCTTTGCTGCCCCAGCACGAGAGAAGCCATTTGGGGTTTTGGTTTTCTGTACAGGATGCGAGTCTGTTTAAAAGAATAGTTTGGGGAAGATGAACATCATTTTCCAACTGCTGAAGAAGGTAAATGGTGCTCAGATGCTGTAGTGCAGAATCCTTGGGTGCTGTGGTCTACAACAGCGAGGACAGCCTACATCCATTCAGCTTCCCTGCCCTTCTCGTATCTAAAATGGGATTTTTTGAAAGTGGTCAGTGTTGGCCCAACTCTGCTCCCCCTGAATCCAGTAAGAAGAATCCAGCTGGCTTCAGTGAGAACAGAGAGAGGCCAGTGTTGGATGTTTTTTGAAAATACCATGCCACAATTTTATTTTTAAAATATTTTTTTCAAGAAAAAAATCAACACACTCCGAGTCACAGGTTCCTGTAGCAAGCTCCTCCCTTAGCTGTGTTGCAGCCTTTGTAGAGGGGGAAATGATGTCTTGTCAGGTCAGGGTTGAGTCCAGTTTTACCAAGAGTTTAGATTATGGATTGTGTAGGATGGTTTTGATGGGGACGATCCTGCCTCATTGACCTCTGGAGGTCCCTTCCAGCCCTATTTCTCTATGAAATCTTTTAAGTAGAGATGGATTTGAACTTTCCTTCTGCGGTCATTATTTGCATTGTTGAGACCTTCTGAAGGACCTGTGCATGCCGATCTGCTTGAGAGCTACTTCATTTTCTGCTGATAAGGGTTTCAAAGTCCTCTGGGGTGTTAAGAGTGGGATTGCACAAGAATGCAAAGGCATCTCTAAATATGTAGACTAATGAAAAGGGCATTTACAGAAGAGAGCCCTCAGCCACTGTGCCAAAGACTTGCCACTCCTTTCCTTTATGCCAGATACAATGCAAAACATTAGCCAGATGCTACCTTTCCCAGCAGGGCTGAAAGCACATTTAGGAGGTTCTTGCCCAGATTTAGTAAGGCTGCTGCGTTCTCCTTGTCAAGGCTGGGCCGTGCGTCACGTTCACTCATATCCAGTGTTTCTGACACCTGGCATCTCCCGGAGCGGCACCAGTGTACACTTGCAGCCTGACAGCACGCCAGGGAATGCTTCCTGGCTCCCTTTTTGGACGCCCCATCGACTCCCAGGAGTTCTTGGACTGATCTGCTCTGTGTGAAGCAGAAATCTTGGGAGCAGTGCTGACTCATGAAATGTTTGAGGGGAGGGACCTGGCTGACAGCTTCTCATGCCCTTCCTGCTTGCCATGAAAAAGCTCGTGAAAATTTGCTCAGGAAGCATGAGTTTGCATTGCACATATGGCCCCGGGTGTCCACCCACGGCCCCTACAAGCATCAGACAAGTTCCGGTTATGGCTCCATCCCAGGGGGAGTATAACACTTCAGGAAAAGTGAATAGGGTGCTGACTTCTGTGTTGTTCAAGTTACCATGCGATTAAACTCATCTACAGGGAAAAGCAGTGAATCCTTCCTGCTCTGCTGTGACTTTGCTTTGTCTTTATGAGCATTGCTGGTCGTCCTTTGGAGTTGCGCTTCCACTCGGCAGCCAGGTCCTCAGCATCCTTGGGGGCTCTGGAATCCTTTTCAGATTCGTGAGGGTTCCCAGCTGCATCAGTCAGATGAGAGCTGTCAGTCTGATAACTAGTGCTGGGGAGAAGTCCAGTCTAGTGTGACTGGTTGATGATTTCTTCCACTTGGTGAGAGAATAAGATTCAATTAACCATTCTGTCTTCCACACTGTGTGAGTCGCTAATGTCCCCCCTCCCTGCTTTGTGCAGAACGGGATGATTTTTTACCAAATCTAGTTTAACATGAGTCAGGGTTTCCAGCTGGACCACAGAGCTAGTTAGACTACTCTTCTGTAGCCTTAAAACACCCCATTTATCATCTCATTGCAGTGCAGTTTCAGGCTGTGTCAGAGGAGTGAAAGCTTCTCTGTTAGTGTGAGCATTTCGGCTGGGTCTCCGCAGACTCTTGCACTGCTGAACTGACATTTTCAATTGGCATGCAGTCTTTGGGCTCCTGTGATCACATTGCTGCTTATTAAAACACAAAATGACAGAGAAAATGACACATTTTTACTGTGCTGCTGCTATAAGCTGTATTAATAGGTATGAGAATGTAGACTAAATGGACCAGAGCAATCTACACTCCATGGTAATTTGTGGCCAGATCACTTGCATACCCATTTATTGGTGCAGTAAAGTATGCAGAGATCGTTGGGGACTTGTCAGTGTGCCTTTGAAACTAGAAACCTGGTTTGGCGAATGGGCAGCTGAACGTTTTAGATTCTTAGTTTGCAGCTGTAAGCTCTCTCTGTTTTAGGAGAACTGGAAGATTGCAAAGCACGCTGCAGATGCTTGTATTAAATAGGGTTAGGATCGGGTCCTGCAGGGCTCTCAGTAACTGCTGCTTCCGTCGGGGGACAGCAGTAGCAGAGGGTTTTCAGCACCATGCATCTGGATAGAAAAGCATGCGCATCTCTGCCTCTTCACACAGGCAAACTGGTACAGAATGTGCAATTCACTGAAATGTCAGTTGCTAAAAAACATTTTAATTCAGGGCGCATGGGGGGGCTTAATCTTCCCTTCTCTCTCTTATCCCATTAGATTCTTGTGCTTGTTTGAGTTAAACCTTGCAAACCTTTGCTTCCCTAGGACACAACAACAAAATAGGAACGTGTGACTTTGCCTGTTTAATTAACAGTACATTGGTATAAGGCTGGGATCAGAATTGGCTCCTTGTCTTTGTGGTTGCTGTTTAATCAGGGCAAGAACCTAGTAGTTATTCACCCTAACTCCCCTCTCTAGGCCCCTGCCTTGTACTGCAGCCAAGGTGCCAGGGACTTGGTTCCTCTGTTTACATCCTGTAGACTTAATATATACAGCATTTCTCTCCTAGGTCAAGAGATACCAGTGCACATTTGAGGGCTGCCCTCGCACCTATAGCACTGCCGGGAACCTGCGCACTCACCAGAAGACACACCGTGGGGAATACACATTTGTCTGCAATCAGGAAGGTTGTGGCAAGGCCTTTCTTACCTCCTACAGTCTCAGAATCCACGTCCGTGTGCACACCAAGGAAAAGCCGTTCGAGTGTGATGTGCAGGGCTGTGAGAAGGCATTCAATACACTGTACAGGTAAGTGCCCTCCCATGCACCTGTATAGTCTCATGTGGCAGAAGCTTACTACTGCTTCTGGCATCACATTTGGTTCCTCTATGAGCAGGAATAAGGAGTAGGTCCTTCAAGCTGCAAGACTGATCCTGCTGTGTAAAGCTCAGGTCAACCTGAAGATCCACTCTGGCCTGTACTAAGAGCTGGGGCAGAAGTGTCTGGGCCAAGACTGTTATTTGCACTGTGACAGTCCTGTACAGCAGGTCATTTTCAGATATTTTGATTAGGGCCCTGCTCTGACATTGGTAACTTGCTTGTTAATCTAGTGGATGGAGCCTAAGTTTCTGAACCTGCTTTGTGCTCTTGTTTATGTGGCTTGTCAGCCTCGGCTAGGGCCTCTGCCCTTCTGCATGTGATAAGAAGGATCTTTTTGGCATGCCTTGCAGGTTGAAAGCACATCAGAGGCTTCACACAGGGAAAACGTTCAACTGTGACACACAAGGCTGCAGTAAATACTTCACCACGCTCAGTGACTTGAGGAAGCATGTTCGCACACACACAGGAGAAAAGCCATTTAGGTGAGTCCGTGGGGAGCCATGAGGAGACTGGCATGCTGTTTATCACTGGCAGCCTGGGCTGAGCCATGGTGGTGGTGCACAGGAGAGGCTGGAAGCCTGAACTCAATGTAGGAGCCTGGAAACGAACTGCACTAACCAGCCTGGACAAGATGGAAACCAAAAGGGATTAGATGCTTGGGCATGTCTGTAGGGCCACTTCTCTCACTGACCAGGTGGGTCAAACTCTGGTCTGATTGCAAAGGAAGGTAAACCTATCCCATTAGGAACACACCAGCAAAATCCATTGCTTCCTTCCATCACCACTGGGGAGTTTAACCCATACAAATGGTCACTGCAGCAAAAGGTGCATACACTTGTCCTGTTTTGCTGTCACATCTGTGCAGCAAACAGAGTTTCCATTAACAGGTTAGCAGCAGGTCTGCCTTCCACTGTCTTTCCATGGAGTGGAAGGTCCTGGGAAGGGTGACTTAGCATCAGACCTGATACCTCTGAGAAGCCTGATACTAACACTTCTCTCTCTCTTGGTTCGTTCAGGTGTGATCATGACGGCTGTGGAAAGGCTTTTGCTGCAAGTCACCACCTTAAAACACATGTTAGGACACATACTGGTAAGTTGGAGGGATTTCTTCTCTAATTGAGCTTCTTCAGTGTAATTATGGCTATACCCATTAATTACAGAGTTGCCTCGAAAGGGCATTTAGTAACCTGGCATGGCTCTCAGGCCTGTGATTACTGATTTTATCCATTCAGATGTTAGCAATAAAAGAGATGCATATACAAGAGTACTGGCCACCTTTGCACTTAATTGTTAAATAGCTCAGGACGGCATTAGAACAAGCATTCAAAAGGAGAGGAGATTAACTCAACAGATAGCGACTTGGCTACCAAGCATGACTTCCCAGATCCTCACGACTCTAGCTACATACGCTCAGCCTTCTCCAAAAGCTATAACAAATAGAACCATAATGTGCAAGAGGTAGTGGGCAGCTAATAATTCAATTCATATTTTAATTAGGAAACAAGAAATGCAGCTGTCTAGGGGTAATGAGCCATAAAGCAATATCCCTTCAATTTAAACTTGGCAGCTGTTGAATTTCACCAGTGCTGTACACAAATGCAGCAATAACGATGCGTAAAACTTAAATCTTATGCTCTTCCATCAACCCACTTGACAAAATTGGAAGCTTTTATTTTTGAGGCTATTATATTGCATCCAGGAAGTTACACTAAATCTGTTCAATAGGCTGTTCAGACATGTTCCCACACGTCCCATTCGTTATTTACTCTGCCGCGTGGCGTGAAATGGGAGACTCTTTATAAGGTGGCATTCAGTCTGTCGCCCTGGACTGTGGCACTGTGGGCGTGTTGTGGGATTTGGGCATGTATTGTTCTTTATAAGGTTTCAGGTCTGTAGTAGAGTGTGTGTGTTAGAGGGAGCAGGTGGGGCTGAATATAGTTGGCCATGTTTAAGGGTTCCCTTTCCCACTTAGGAGGGTGTCTAGGAGAGTGCGATTCTCACATCATCAAAATGGCTTTGGTGTCTTGTGAAAAGCAAAGAGATGCCTGAAGTCACAGATGTTTGTATTGCCTGTAGGGGAGAGGCCTTTCTTCTGTCCCACTGACGGCTGTGAGAAGACTTTCAGTACTCAGTATAGTCTGAAGAGCCACATGAAAGGTCATGAGAAAGGACACTCGTACAATGCACTTCCAAATAGCGGCGTATCCGAGGTCAGTAGCTTTCTCTCTCCTAGCTAATGCTTCTGTGGTGCATCAAAGCATGTTCTCTTGTTCTGGAGTGGAGAGGCAAAGAATTCCCCCAGGTAATGAAGGGTTTGAAAAGAGGAACATTTAAGAGTTTCAAAGTTGAGGCTGTTGGGTGCTTGGCTCCCACAGAAAGCCTGCAGTGTTTTCTGAAGCGCTTAGCCAGAAGTTTCAAGATGAAAATGGAAGGCTTGTGCACTCTCTCCCAATTGGCAACTGGTAGATTTTGAGAAGCGGAGTTTGGCACTTCCAGACCTTAACTACCAAGGTGCTGCCAGATTGTCATCCTCCTGGTGAAACAAGCTTCTGAATTAACCTGGTAATCTAAGACATGTTCACAGCTTGACTGAGCTACTGTTCTTTTGAATGTAGCCTGCCTTGTAATGACACTATGCAGTGAGCAGTATAGGTTAATGGTAGCGGTATTCATGTAGATTCTCATGCTGCATTATCTTGCCTGAGTTTCCTTTGGTGATACCTTAAGCAGTGTGACGTGCCTGCATGCTCAGAGCACGCCAAATCCTGAGAAGTAGGCAGCGCAGCTGGCTTAGCGTGTCCCTGAGCCGGAACCAAGACCAGATGCTGAGAGTGGCACTCTGCGCTCCTAGGCAGAGCCCCAAGCCTGGCCCAGAGGTGGGGCAGACAGGCCCCAAGTTTTGCTGTGCTAGAGACCAGTTTGTCTGTACAGTGATTTAAAAATCCCGTTTTCCCTAATTATCTTTGAAAGGGGAAGAGTTGGGCTTTGTGACATGGGGGGAAAACACGGATATCCCTCACTGTGAGCTAACATTGCTCCACTGGTTTGAGGACTGAGATTTGGGCCTTATGAAGTTAGCAAAATCATCTCCAGGTTGTGTGGAGTCTTTAAAGGGACTTAAAGCACTATTAGTGCTGAATATGACTAATGCTGATGTGTAAATGGATAACTGTGGCCTTGTTCCCCTTCCCAGGATACAAACCACTCACTCTGTTTGAGTGACTTAAGTCTCATGTCCACAGATTCAGACCTGCGGGAAAACGCAAATACAGTAAGTTTCTTGTGCTCCTCCCAGAACAGGAGGTTCCATTTCTGTACAGTGTGTATGTCCCATGTAGAGGAACACAGCATAGGTGTTTAAAACTGGTGGCCTCTGTTCCACTTAATTGATTCATCAGCATTACCTGCTTTGGGTCCCCCTTTTGCATATTGCTGTGAGGGCATGTCCTCGCCAGCGGCAGGGAGAGAGGCATTGAAGCAACTTGCCTTAGAACAGATACCGGCAGATTTATCAGCAGGACGCAGTGCACCATGTCTTGGCAAATGCATGCGTTTCCCATGCATCCTGGTTGGTCCCCTTCTCCAGTTGGATCTTGCTGTCTGTCAGCATGAAATATTGCTGCAGTCTTGCTGGGTGAATTTGGGCATTGTAACAATGGGATGCACTCAGACTCCTCCTGCGGGGGCAGACTGGGGTAATCCCACAGCATGGACGTTTCTAACCTTTGCTTTTCAGCCTTGTTCCAGTTTCTGTTAGTGTGAAGCAGGGGGGCATCCTTTTGTTCTTCAGCAAATTGTTAATGTGCGGTGTGGGCATAGATGAATTAGGCTGGATTTGTTAGTGTAGAAAAAATAATACGTATTGCCATTTTCATTTTCAGCCACCAGGAACCAGAGGCTTAGCTGTGACCGCCCTGAGCTGTCTGGCTAGTGTTAGCTGGGAGTGTTTGAAATGGCTAGCTGGTGTACATATTCATTCAGGGTGTTCCATTTGTTCTGTCCATTGTTCTGTGGGGTGGTGGCTGCCCGTGTGCATCTCGATTAGCATCCATTACAAAGGCTCCCAGCAGAAGAAACAGAAACAGGCATTTGTCTTCTTTTTTGTGCAGCTGCATTACATTATGTCCTCAGCACTTTCAGCTAAGAAGTCCATATTTTGGCCTCAAGAGTTAAGCACCAGGTGCTTTTGCTGTCTTAGTTTCTACCATTTGGCTTTCCTTTCCCCAGCTGCTCTCTACCTTTTCTGCTCGCATTAATTGGCGGAATCGCATACTTAGTATAAATGGGCATGTGTTGCGTTCACTTAATTAGGTTACTACAGACTGGCCTCCGGGTGGTGTTGAAAGAGCTTGCGTCTTCTGCAGGTACATCTGGGAGGAGGCTTGTAAGTGCTTGTTGCAGTCTGTTCAAGAAGTAATTGCAGTTTGCTGATGTCTTGGGCACAGACCTTTTGGCTTTTTGCTGCACATGTCTCCCGGATCTGAAAGGAGAGTTTCTAATTCTCTAGTGGGGGTGGTGTCTTGCCTGGTCTGGGTAGTAAGTTGGCTGGCCTTGTTTTGTGCTTGGCTGTAGGCCCAGGCTGTGGAAGCAGGGAAGAGCTCCTGTTCCCAAAACAGGCTGGGGTGAGGCTGCTGCACAAGCCAGGAAGTAAACTAACCAGAGCCATGTTGGCTTGTGTTCTGGAAAAAGTACAGTGAAAGGTTTCCCATGTGGAAGGGACAAGGCAGGCATTTCATTTCCTAAAAGGCATCGATTGGGGATTTTGCCTTGTGCCCAATGGTAGCTAAGAGGCGACTGCTGTTCTTGTGCTAGTTGCCCAAAGGTCCCTTCCCTTTCTGAGGGTGTTTTTTTAGAAGCTGGCTGACTGCCACTTATGCAAATAACTCATTGAACCCTGGGACGTGCTCTTACCTAACCCTGCTCTCTTTTTTGTTGTTGTTGTTTTCCCAGACACAAGGACAAGACCTTAGCACAATCTCACCAGCAAGTATCTTTGAATCTATGTTCCAGAGCCCAGATCATACTGCAAATCAGGAAGACTCTCAACAGACTGGTACGCTGTGTTATCTGTGTTTCCTCAGAGAGCCCTTCGAGGCAGTCTTCCCCTCTCCCCGCAAGCACCCCTTTATTCATACACCTCGCCTTGAAGAAAGCTGCCCTGTAGCCTCAGCAGATACCAGACGAGTGTGTGCTGGGAAGGGTTGGTAGGGACTGTCACCTTTCTGCCCTTTTAACGTAACCAGTATTCATCGTCTGTGTGGTGCTGAGGCTGTGGCCCTAGAACTGAGAGTTCATGTTGACAGGAGCATCTGGACTCTTGTCTCTTAAGCTCTGTTTCCGAGCTCTCCTCTTGGAGCAGACAGACATATTGGCTGAATGAAAGAAACCACCTTAGTAGAGGATTTGTACTAGAAGTCCTTACGGATGCTGAGAGCTAACAGCTCTTGGAGGCCTGTGTGTAGACTACAATGTGCTCTGCTTCCTGAATTTAGGCAGGCTGTGTCCTGGCTCCCTGAGCTGTCCTTCACGCTTCACTGGTTAACTCTGTGAGCTTTGTGCGATGCTTTGGAGATGCAGAGGCTGGTGGTTGTTTTCCTGCGTTGCTCTCGGTTCGCTAGAGGCTGATTTGGGCTACGTCGTGAGGCTCAGCAGAAAGCGGCTTGTTCGTCTCGGATGGAATTTTTTACTTTGTTTCTTTTGGCAGCTGCCTTGATTGAAAGTTTCAATGGTGAAGATGACGCAGCAACGACTGTTCAGTCTTCTGTTGGAGACTCTGCATCTCTGTCCCTCCCCCTGGTCCTGCAGCTTGGCATTTCGGAGCCTTCGCAACCAGCACTACAAGCCTCAGCACCGCCTCCAGCCCCCATCTCCATGGGACCCAGTTCACAGCAAGTTGCATTTGGAAGCCCCACAGCTGTTTTACAGTCCCCTGAAGTGCCTGTTCCTCACAGCACACCATTTGCAGCCAGTCACCAAGACTTTCTGCAGCCCACTCAGGCGCCACCGCAGCCCATTGTACAGGGACTTTCAGTGGTGGCTGGAGCCTCAGCCCCAGCACCACCGAGTGCCACGGAGCCCCTGCCAGCTGTGGTCCAGACCGTGCCTGTGGGTGCAAACTCTGTTCTGACCAGTAACCCAACGATAACAATTACTCCGTCTCAGAGCACTGCTATTCTACAGTCCAGCATAGTCATGGGAGAACAGAACTTACAATGGATTTTAAATGGTGCCACTGGTTCTCCACAAAACCAAGAACAAATGGTTAGTGTGTACCTTACTTTGTTGTTGAAACATGGCTCAAACTTATCCCTGTCCCTCACAGTGCAGGAGCTCTGGTTTGGAAAAGACAAACTACCAGAGCTAGTTTATTTTGGAGGTATAAGCTTGGTTCCAGGTGCATCTGCTTCAGTACTGGTTATAGTTAGCAGTGTGTGTAGTGCTGCACAGGTAGTCACTGCCCTGACAGCCTCACAAGGTAGACGAATGGCAGGCAAAAGTATTGGGGAAATGCAAAGGCAGGAAGATTTTACTGGGCGGTTGCTGTCTTCTTTCTAACAATGCACTCCCTTCTGTGTGCCTCAGAGATAATGTGAGCTTGCTTTACCTGTAATACTGCTGTGTACAGTCCAAGAGGAACTTATTTTGCATCATCTTTGTCACAGTATAGAAGCACAAACACCTCCATAATGAATTTGTTCAGGCATTTTGTTGTCTTTCCCTTTCCCTGATTTAATCCTATTGCCTTGTGAATCAGAGTAGTCTTGTATGTAAGGATAACAGAAAGTCTTCCAGAAAATGAGATGCATCTCAGGCTCCATTAATTTGGTGTTTGGGACTTCAAGAATAGTTTGTGTTATTCTTTAAGAAGTGAACTGGGGCCATCTGAAAAAGTTGAAGCTATTAAAGGGACATTGATCTAAACAGTATGGAAAAGCAGGACATTTGGCTCATGTTGAATTCGTTTCATTGGCAACATGTATGAAGTGTACTCAGTTCAGCATCTTCTGGGCCACTGAAACCAGAACCCTAGTTCTGTTGTACCCAGAACACAATACCAAAGCACAATATCAGCCCAACTTATAAAAAAAAAGAATTTGATTTTTGCCATCTGTTCTTTAGGATGCATATTTCTCTTGCTCACAGCTGTTCAGGGTTTAATTAGCAAAGATCTAATTTTAATCGCATCAAATGTGTTTTATCTTTTAAAGCCACAAGTTCCGAAGGTAGAAAAAGTCTTTTTTACCACCGCATTACCGGTAGCTGGCAACACAGGTATGTATATCTGCAGCGAGCTTCTTACCCTTCAGCTCCTGGGCTAGGACTTGTGACATGATTCCTTTCTTAAAATGTCTAAGGAACCTTCAGCTTTTGACCTCCTCGAGGAGTTTTAAGCACAGTTCACAGCTATGGCCTGAGGGTGAGGTTGGCATTACATTATATTAAGAAAGAAGGGACCACAGATGATACAACAGGTTCTAGGGAGAGACTAGGGAACGGTGTTGTCTTAATTAGATCCAGTTTTCCCAAAAAACCACATGCTATTTTAATGTAATACATGTATGAGATGGAAAAGCTAGTGTCACATTTAGGTTAAATGATCTGTGTACTTAGATTTTGAAACAATGATAACCTCATATGTGAGAAGCTGAAAAAGCTGGTATAAATTAGTTTAAGATGTCTAGTAGCAGCAGTCTGGCTGACGCCCTCTCTGAGTTGCATTTAGTACAATAGACAGCCAGGCATCATTTGTTTTTCTGTAGCTTTCTTCCTGCACTGGATCAGACGTTTCAGGACAGGCATGTCTGAAGGTGAGATTGAAACAGAGGAAGGGGGAGGCAGTGTTAAACAGAGCAGCACAAAGGCAGGAACTGTCCCAATAGAGCCTTGAAAGGGGAAAAGCGGAACAGGCAGGTAACTGCCTTTGAGGTGACAAGAAGGGGGAGTCTGTGTGAGGCCATAGTAACCACCCCTGGGGGTTGGTTATGTTTTAGTGGAGCGGAAGCACTCGGAAATGTCACTGAGAGCAGGCACGGAGAGCAGGGTGGAAGCCTGGGTGGGTGGCTTCGGGCCCTCAGCATTCCAGACCAGGGCAGCTTTCAGCCAAGTGGCTTCTCTTAGCTGCTGGCTGGGACACGCGGATGCCTGTTTCTGTGAGATACCTGACTTGGTTCCAGCATGGAAAGAAGCACATGCAGCGCAGGGGCACAGCATCGTCCTGCGAGTCTCTCCAGCTCTCCTGTTTAGAAGGGCCATCATTAACGCCTGGAAGCCCAGGCGGTCGCAACGCTGCCGCTTTACTTAATGTGTAATCAGCTTGGTTCCTTCTTGTAATCAGCATGGTTAAGTTCATCCTGCCCTGGGTCTGTCTGCCTGTCACCTTCAGTAACCCTAGTGGGATTTGAAAAGGCTGGCTGAGCAGATTTACAGCTTCCAAGGCTTAGCTCTAACCGGGTAATGATGACTTAGCCTCCCCTGGTCCCCATGGCTTATCACGGGGATCATTTGGAAAGCTAGTGGTATGGGTTCCTTTTTGTTGCTCTCACAATGTTGTTATTGTTTCTGTGATGCTGCCTGTGTGAACGAGCAGAGCGGGCATGTTACCCTACAACGAAGAGCATGCAGTGTAAATTCTTCTGGGCTTCCTGTTTCCCCTTCAGGAAACTCCGTGCAGCAAATCAGCGTTCCTGTCATCATCATCAAGCAAGAGGAGGCCTGCCAGTGTCAGTGTGCCTGCCGGGATGCTGCCAAGGACAAAGCCACGAGTAAGAAGAGGTGTTCCTCACCTGAGCTGAAACCTTCAGAGAAGCCAGATGCTAAGCTGCAGCCTCAGACGTTTCCTTCCTCCTCTTCTCCTTTGCGTGAGCGAAGCGGTCAGGTAGCTAACCCTTCAGACTCGCAGCATGAAACGTTAAGTGCCATAGATGTATCGGATTTCCTGTCCCTCCAGTGTCCTGTAACCTCACCCAACCTGATTCCAATTGAAGCACTACTGCAGGGGGAGGAAGAAATGGGTTTGAACAGCAGCTTCTCCAAGTGAAGATGCTCCTGGTTCTTCTCCCTTGCACCTGGACGGTAACGTCCTCCCTTTTAGAAGAAGCTGAAGGATCAAGCATCTTTTTTCCCCCTTCCTCTTTGGAAGCATTGTGGCTTACTTCTGCCTCTCGGATGTCATTTTAGTCACGTCCCAAAAGCATCCATCTTTGGGGGTCTGTCTTTAAGAAAAAAAAAGAAAAAAGAAAAAAAAAGCTAAGTTATATATGAACTGTTTTGGCTGCACTGTCTGTCACTTTTGCTTGTCATATGTGAACATGGAAGTTAAGGTTACTCGTCTGCATACAGATTAGAAAGAGAAAAGGGGGTAATAGGTTCCACTCAGTCTCCAATTGCACATCACTGTTATGTTTAAGGTTTTGGTACTGGCAGCAAGTGGGTCTTTGTTACAACTCCTTGGGTCGGTGATCTCCTCCCATGTCTGCTACTAACCCTGCACTATGATGGGGGCCCAGAGAAGGAAGTTTCTGTAGCAAAAGACGGCGTTACTATAGTTGGAAATGTTTTCCCTGGAGCTCGACTTGAGACAGTTTCTAAGATGCTTTTACCACACTTGGGATCCCTGCCCCATTCCTTAGCTGGCGGATGGCGCCTGGGTGTTTTATGCTAACAGCGTCAGTAAAGCCAGCAAGAACTTAGGGGGAGTTTACTTGAGGGTGAGGTGCTTGTGCTCCCAATGAGTGAGTGAGGGCTGAAAATAAGCTTCATGAGCCCGAAGTGGGATCAAAGTCTCTGCCTGGTCAGAGCCCGCACGCCTCTTGAGGAGCGCGGTGAGTTTTGAATGTAGTCGTATTGGTGCGTGCTGCTTCTGTGACTGATCTGAATGACCTAAGATCTCTCGGGTAGGTAGAGCAGCATGAATCAGCCTTGAGCACAACACTTTGACCGACGGCTCTGGCCTGACGTTGAGGATGATTCTAGGAATTTGTTCCCAGTGATTCTCATCAATGTTCAGTGAATTCGAATTCAGAGAGCCTGTCCTTTTGCTCTCCGGAAATGCTTCCTTTTTTCTGTTTAGCTCTATAATCCCTGCCTGAATCTGCCTCCAGCCTACTGCAATGCCAGCTCTCTGTGCGTGGGACTATTTCTTGACTAAAATGCATTACACAATTTAGTAGTTTCTCATATCAAACTGAAACTCTAGATTCTAACCTACTCAGGGTAAATAAAATACAAACTCCCCTTCCACCAAAAAGCCTGTAATGTTGCAATAAATGCAGTCTCATTTTAAATGGTTTATTTATGCTGCATTATTTTAAAAGATGTACTTTTATAGTATTTTATCCATCTGTCTGGCTTTGGCTGTCAGTCCGTTTGTGTTAAAGGAAAGAATATTAAATAGTTTTTATTCAGTTTACAGTGTTGTCATTAGTGAGAATTAGTGATACGACCATAAGCCAATGATGCGGAGCAGCTGTGTTCCTTAGTTCTAGGGATGCAAACTCCTCTCCCTCTCACTTGTGCTTCTGGCTGGCGGAAGTGGGGCTCAGCCCCTGCTGTTGGCTGGGCCCTGTCAGCACAGCCAAGCCTTTCTCCCGGGTCTCTGCACCAGGACCCCGGAGTTTGAAAGCCCTCCTCCAAAGAGCCAGTGCCAGAACTAACCTCTTAGCTGGGGCCATGTCATCACCAGAGGATGCAAAGTGAGATGGGTGACCTTACTTTTTGAAGTGCAGCGAGAAGGGGGCTGAAGGGAGCTGGCTTTTACCCCTTGGAGGGCCTGCCCTATTTCAGGGTGGGAAGAGGAGAGCATCCTGTCGGGGCAAGGGTGCTGTGTGCGCTAGGGCTCCTGGCGGGAAGGGCTCCCAAGAAGGCAGCCGAACTGGAAAGTCCCTGGCAGCTTTTCCTCCTGGCAGGCACTAGCTAGCAGGGCAGTGCGTGGGGCATGGCGGTGCTTACAGTTTGACATGTCCAACATGAGTTAGCAGATGTACAGGGCGTTTCTGTTTCGGCCCTGTGTTTTCCAGGCTCTGCTGGGGAGAGCGGGGGCTGCTGCTCCGCTTATCATCCGCTGTGCAGCTGGTGAAAGCTGGGTGGGGAGCAGGAATCCACCCTGGGAGTGCCTGCCTGCAGCAAGGGACTGCACCCCTGCCTGCCTCAGCTCAGTTGTGAGAGTTGTGCCATGTGCTTGGCTTTGGCTCTGCATCTAGGAGCCTGGACAGTGGGGGGGCTTGGCAGCCCTTTCGCAGCCTTTCTTCTTGCTCCTCTAGCCAAGGACTTCCATATTCAGCAGGGTTAGCTGAGCCTTGTCTTCAGCTGCTCCAGTTCACAGTGGAATCAATCAGAGACAAGTTTCTTGAAGAGGGCTTTGCTGTGGTCCAGGCAGAGTGGAGCCAGGCTGACAGACAAACACGAGCTGTCTGCTCCAAAGAGGGTAATACAGAGGTCTCGTCCACTTCTGCTTTTGAACAGCAGTCAGCAGTGTAGAGGCTGCTTAATTGGACTGACTCGTATGCACTTGTAATAAAGCTCTAGCGGCATCCTTGGAAATCCCCCCGTGCTAGAGACCGAGAAGAAAATCCCCAGAGGCTTTTGAAATGGGAGACTCCTTTAGAAAGGCAGTGGGCAACAGCAGTGAGAAGGAACACCCTCCCTCTCGCGCGCTCTCTGCTTCAGACAAGCAGTACCTAACATCTCTGCTGTTAGTTCATAGCTTCAGCCTTGGCAAGTGCGGTGTCTCATCCCTGGGTCCTCGGTGTGTCGCAGGCTCCGTCCCTGCCCAGACAGGTGGGGCTAGCGGGTCTACGTGCATCTGACACCCGGGTGTAGTTTCGGCTTGGGTGGAGCTAAGGAGGGGAGAGCGTCTGGTGTAGCCTGTCCCCGCGCGGCTCTGATGCAACTGCTTTGCTAATGCATTTGCTTTTCTAACCTTTGGCCCGCTTGCCAAGATGTACAGTCATGCCTTGTCTGTCTGAGCCTGCTGCTGCAGTGCCTGCCAGTCCCCGTGCTGCTCCAGGTGCTGCATTGCCAGTCCCTGCACCCTGCTGGGATGTCCCTGGCGGGCTCGCTGGGGAAGAGGAGAACCTGCGAGGGCCTGGCCAGGGGCTGGTCCTTGCAGTCCCAACTGAGGCTGGAGGCTCCCCTCTGTTGATGGCAGGCCCCACGTTGGTCTCCTGGTGGAGGCAGGGAGGCTGTTCTCCTGTGATAGTGCTTTGGCCTCTGCTGGCAGTGCCGTGCCCATGTCCTGCATCCCAGCCACGAATCCCTGTGTGTCTCTGTGAAGCAAAACTGCACTGCTCTGCGTCGATGTGTGTGAAAGCGCTTCCTGTTTGATGGCTTGGGGGGGAGGGGGGGGTTGCTTTTGGGTTACCTGTAGCTACTAGTGGGGTAAAAAGACAATAGGACAGAGAACAGGTCTAACTACTAACACCTGTAGCCCTGGAGGCCAAGGAGGGGTGCCAGCAACCTCACCTTGCGCAGCTGGGGGCTGGAGAGCCTGCTCTTCACGCATGTAGGTGGTAGAGGCAGCTGGGGACAAGAAGTCAGCCCGTGTTAGACGCTGGTACTGCATCGCGTGGAACAAAATGGGGAGGGGGCTGTGACTTCCCGTCGCGCTGGCTGCGTCCAGAGAGACTAGTTTGAGGAACCTCATGCTGGTATCTGCAATGCACTTTAGGTGATTTTATCTTTAACCCGATTGCTGCAATTTCTTTTGTATATACTTTCCCAAAGTTTATTTTTGCTCTGAGTAAATGTTAACAGGGGTGTACAAAACTGAGCACTTATCTTGGTGCAATACTTGTAGCTAAAGATCTTTGTCCCGTGTGGTCGGTCTGTCTGTCTGTGTCTGTCTGAAGAACTGAATCTGTGCGGTCATTAGCTCAGTGACCTGTTGCCCTACTCTGTACAGAAGCGAAATTATGCATCCTTAGCAAACGTCTGATCTATGCAAAACCTCCACGGAGAGCACTGCGCTTTGGCAGGCCCGTTCTCTCGTGCTTTCTGATGAGCTGCGTGTCACTTCGGCTGGAGGCGGTAGGCGTTTGCAGCTGGGTTCACCTGTCGTCCCGTCCCGTAGTTTCCAAGCGAGCCCCCGGCAGAAGTGACAAGCAGCCGTTCTTAGACAGGCATGTTGCACCTTCCAGATTCTCCTCCCGACCGCGTTCGATGTCATGTTCTCTGCCTTATTTCACGGAGAGGGGCTCTCCCGCGGAGTCCAAGCTGTGTGTTTGGAAACTGCAGCAACATTGTTAAACTGTTTACAATTCTCTTCCTGCATCAATTAGAAAGAAGGCTTGGAAAATGAACTGATGCCTGGTGTGCGGATCTGGGACTGCTGGGGGATATCAGCTCTTCGAGCTGTGATTGGCCTTCGGAGTTCCTTGGAGATTTAAAAACCATTCTCTACTTGACAGTGATGTTCAGAAGGCAACTGCAACGGGAGGCAGCGTGGTCCGGTGCGGAGGGCAGTACACTGCGTAATAGTCCCAGCTCTGCCACTGAATACCTGTTGGGCCTTGGGCAAGTCACTTAATCTCGCTATCTCTGCCTCTGTTTCCTCATCTGTAAAGGGAGGAGGATGTTTATTCATCTTTGTAAAGTGCTTTGAGATCTCCAGATGAAAAGTGCTAAGTATTATTACCAAGAGCTAGCTGGGCGGAACAGTGGCTATTTTGAGTAGATTTGGCTGTAAGGCAAAGAAAAAAAAAAAAGAAAAAAAGAAAAAAAACGAAGGAAAAAAACAAAAAAAAGCATCTTTAACACTGCTTCAGATACCTGACAGCCTAGTTTTTAATTGGTCTATTTTTTTTCCTCCTTAACATATTTTGGAAACGACGTCCAGTTTTTATAAACGTGACCTGTAGTCGATGCTCACGGACAGGGCTGAACTTTTAACTTTTTGCATCGTGTCTTGGTCTGTCCCACCCGTTCTAGAAGTTGGATTCTGTGTCTGCACTGAGAAATGCAAATGAAACTGGATATTTATGTAGTCGTGTACATAGTCTGCGTGTGTGCGCGCGCGTGCGTGTGTGTGTGTTCTTGGAACGAGTGTAAAAATCCCACACCATGCTTTCGGTGGTGTGCAACCTGGCCAAAATTTGGTTCGTTATGCAGTGTACACTTTCTCGACGAAATGCAGTTTCTACTTTTTCTTACCAGAAATGTTTTCATACGATCTTTTTCAGCAAAACCAAGGGGATGTTTTTTGCAGTCTCGTAGTTCCGGTAGCCAGTATTCAGTGTAAAAGGTCGGGTTTGTTTGTTTTTTCCCCCCCTCGCTGTGTATTGTCACGTCCTTTCACCGGCTTACAGACTGGAGCTATTTGTTTGACCCTCATTTTCGACAGAGAATAAGAGCTGCAGTTGTGTTGCATCTTACACAGGCTGGCACTCGCGTGGGAGGCGAGCGGCCGTGCTGTCCGCAACCCTGGTTCGCTACTGAGCGCTCTCTTCAGCATGGATCTCTGCAGAATCGTCGCTCCGGGAAATCGAGGTTGTGCGTGCGAGGGTTATTTCCTGCTTTTGTTTTGTTTGACACATGCTAGGAGCTGGGCAGTGGTCTTGGAGATGATTTTAAAGCCAAACACATCAGCTTTTCCAGAGCGCGTGTCTGGTGTTAAAGGCATTTATTTAACTATGAAACGTGGGAACACATGTACGTGCATTGAGCGATGTGAAGATGTCAGTTACAGGTACAGTACTTCCAAAGGAAGAGCATCTCCAAAACCCCAAAAAGAGTAAATATGAATTTGTATTTTTGAAGAATGTAAAATGTGAATAACAGTGTTTGCTTAATTGCTCATTTTGTATAAAGTTAATATTGTACTTTGAGATATCTGCTAAGAAGTGGAAATTAACTTTTTTGGAATTGAAAGCAATATTAATACTAATGGAATCCTAATTAAATGCTTATTTAAACCTGGTGGTGTCGGGATCCTTCCTTGGGGCGTGGGTGAGAGCCCCCTGCACCCCCTCTGGCACTGGGGTTTCCCAGGGGTGGGTGCCCCACACCTCTGCCCATGCACATAGCTGAGGCTTTGGACCTGCCACCGTCCTGCTGTCAGTACATCGAATGTGCTGGGGTACACAGAGGAATAAGCCCAGCCTTTGGAGCTCCTTAGGCTGTGCTCACTGTCCCCAAACCCACTGATTATAACGGGATGTTCCTCTGGCTCCCAGCAAGAGGGATGCGCTCTGCCACTCCAAGGTGTAGGAGGAACGAGGAAGGAAAAGAGGAGCAGGGGCCTTTTGCATTGCCCCAGAAAAGGGGCTCCTGTGTGCTTTGCTACGCACGGCTCAGTGACCAAGAGACTCAGAGCCTGGTGGCTATAGAAAGCAGAAGAGGCAGGTGATCCTGAGGCAGATGCCCCTGGGACCTGGGAGGATGAGCTGGGCCGTAGACCAGCCTGCACACTGCCTGGTTTGTCTGGGAAGGCTTTATGGGTTTTGCTCAGAAAACAAGACTCACTGTGAAACCCCAGATGTGCAGGTGCTTCCCCAGGGCACGAGCTAGGAGTGGGCGGGAGGGAAAGGCTTCTTCGACCAGTCTCTGCCTTGGCGTTTCGGAGTCTGAGCACCCCAGAATAGCTCAGGAAGAAGGGGAAGTGCCTGCTGACCCTGCTGCATGGAGGCCGAGTGCAACCCCCCACCAACATATGGCATGCGGCAGAACAGGGTCTGAACCCAGGCAACCAGCGTCTTCACGCAGCACCCGGAGCACTGGTCTGTCATCCCCCTGGATTTCCTCTCTGCCTCCCCCATCACACCCACCCCCCGTCAAACCAGAAAGACCCTGGTCCCTGCAGTCCAGGGGCTGGATCCAATGAGAGACTTGGGCAGTGCGACACCCCCCCCCCCCCCAGGCTCCGTGCAGGCCTCAATCAGGCACCTTGACTGGGGATCCAAAGCCCCCACGCCAAGGGGAGCTGCTGGGGATCATAAAGCACTGGCCTGTTTAGTATCCTGCCCCTTTCAGAGCAGGGCCCTCAACACTGCCTAGCCAAGAAAACACAGAAACAGCTTTTCAAAGGCAGGGAGGGAGAACTGCAGCTCTTTGTCTCTCTCTCCAGGAAAGAAGCCTTAGTGCAGCTGGGAAGCAGGGAGTGAATGCCAGGCAGGACAGAGCTCTGCTTCACTGGCCCTAGCCCTCCAGCTTCTCCCTGGGATGGGTGCAGCTCCTGGGAGGGAGCAGCAGTGGCTTGAGCTCCTCTTCGGGGCCTGTGCTGCTGCAAGGGAGGACTCCCTGCACAGCACCCCTGGTCTTTGGGGCTGGCTCTGTCCTGCGATGGAAGAGGAAAGGTGGGGAAGGAGATGGGGACAAGGATGTGCCGAATCAGTATGGGCAGGACACAGGGTTAGGGGCAGTCCTTGCAGTGCACAGGTTCAGCCCTGCTGCATTTCTAGTGTGAAATTAAGGGCAGGAAAGGAAATTCCCTTTCCTTTTTCATGTACAGCCTTGGGTCAGCAAGTCTCTGCTGCCCCCAGGTTACAGGGGCTGGTTGGTTAGCTCACTGCTAGCTGGAGCAGGGCTGCAGCTTTTCCCAGAGTGGCAAAGGGGCACATAAATCATTTTATTTCTGTGCCATGCCGTGAGCATCAGGTGACAATACAAAGCCAGCTTAGCAGAGCTCAAGAGAGAAAGGGCTAAGCATTTCCTGGAGAGCAAACGTGCGTATGTGAAGGGTTCTTCCAGCAACAGGCTGGTGGCCAGGCCAGCCCAGCTGGCATTTCAGGGGTGATTCTTCTCTTCCTGCAGAGCCAAGGAGCTGCTCTCCATCCCAGCAGGTGCCTAAAAATTGAAGCACAGGCCTGGGAATTAGTTCCCTCAATGCTAGCTAGAGTAGCATAGCGTGTCCTCACCGGGGGCCCTGCCCTGGGGTCAGGGCGCTGCACCCTGGGGCTCAGCAGGTTTCCTGCCTGCAGCTCAGTGGCTGGTTGCACCCCTGCTCCCAGCAGACAGGGAGGATGGAGATGGCAATACTCAACCCTGAGAGAGGCCCGCAGTCCCGCGAGCTCCGTCATCAGCAGGTCGAGGCTGGCGGTCTTTTCCTGGAGCCGTTGCTGCTGGGCTTCCAGCACCGTTAGCAGGGCCCTGATGCGTTCGGACTGGGGGGAGAAACAGGGAAGCCTCTGAGACCTGGGGGAGAAGTCAGCAAGGAGCTGGGGGTGCCTTGGGGGCCGGCAAGCGGCACCAGTTACTGCTTTTCTGTGGGGCAGACCTCCCTAGCAGCCTTCCCAAGGGAGCCTGCAGTCTTGGCCAGTAGCAGTGCTAAACCCTCTGGGGAGGGTAAAGCAGCTTGGGTGCCTCGGGGCTTGCAAACGAGGCAGAGCCGACTCCCACCCACACACCAAGCCCTTAGCTGCAGCCTGGAGATGCTCTACCCTGGGCCCCTCAGACACCAGGGAGCTGCCCTGAAGATGAGCAGCAGCGCTTGCAATTACTGTCCTATATCCAAGCCCAGGCAGCCTCCCCCCACCTGCTCCTCCACCAGATTCACACAAACCAGGGACTCGAGGGTTTTGGGCAGCTCAGCATCATCCTGCCCGGTGGCTTTTCTTGCCTCCATTGCTCAGCGAGATGGGAGAGCCGTTTGCTGGGTGCTGGGGGCAGAGGCGTTGCTTTGGGAGCTGGTGTTGTTTGCACGAGTCCTCAGAAGCAGCACTGGAAAGAAAGGCAGACGGTCCGTGGTCACTAGGGGCTCCTGCCCCCCCATATCTGCTGGGGGGTCAGAAGCTGGGGCAGCATCACGAGGGGGAGATGGAGATGGGGTGGAAGAGCAGGGAACAAGGTGGCTCCAAACCAGCATCCACCCTCTAAGCTCGGGGGGGCTTGCACTGACCATTGCCTCAGCAGCAAGTCTGCACCGCAGGAGCCGGGCTGATCCCAGCACAGGCCCCTCCTCAGCCAACACCCACCGCCCTCCTGACCCTGACCCCGACCCCGTTTCTTATTTGTAGCTTCACTAAGTGGATTGCCAGCACCTGGGCCTCCTCCGCCGGCTGCTTCTGCAATCGGGTGCAGGGCATGGGCCAGGTGGACCAGGCTCCTCGGCTTTTATGACGCCAGCTCAAATAGTTGGTGTAATAAATAGGATTTTTCCAACTATTTGAATGTTTCAATAAAGTCATTTTTCCAGCTCTTTGAGTGGGTTTAATAAAAGATGCCGCGTTGACTCAGAGCTCTTGCAGCTTGCTCCTCCAGCTGGAGGCAACCCTGGGCAAGGCCCGGGGTCGCTACAGCTTGGCCCGCGGGCGAGGCCTTGCCATTACCAACGTGCAAGCCCTGGGGAGCCGGGCTGCCACCGCCTGGGTGCTGGGACACGGGCTCCAGCGCCGCACGCCAGCTCAGGGCCCCGTCCGGAGCCAGGGAGCCCGTCGGGGCTGGGTCGTGGGTGCAGGGCGAGCCCGGGGGGCTCAGGAGCAGCCGGCCTGTCGCGGTGCGGTGGCCCCGGGCCGTGGGGCGGGGGGCGCCCGGGGCCTGCCCGGGT